TGGCTTACTGGTTTTGGTTTTGCAGTCACTCGTGGAATTCTCAGGATAAAAATTTCTTTGTTACTGTGTGGCCTTGGCATATGCTTGAAGATGCTAACGTAATGTGCAGAGCTACTAAATACGTTAAATTGAAAAAATATCCCCCAATATGTGGCTTGACTTAATAATGCTCTAATCTGTAGGGCAGTGGACACCATATTCCAAATTGTTCAGATACGATTGCCTAATCTTTGCATTGTAATTCTGCAAATGGTTGGTATTGTAAGTGTCTCAACCTGTGTTGGCATTTTAGTCATTAGCAGGTTATTTTTTAAGCATGCTCAGGCCTACACAGTACTTAGTATCATTTTTAATTGCTATTCAAATGCTGGATATCATACAGATGAATTGGTGAAACAGGAAGCAGATCACTCCAGGGTCTGTACAGGAGTGTCACTATATAGGAAAGGGTCCTTAAAACTAGATGTGGATTGGGCTGAAGTCAAGAGTGCACTAAAAGCATGGTACAAATCAAGCTTAGTAGACACCAGATCTGGTTCCACTACCAACTACATATCGTTGCCTCAATATATATAACGATTGACAGATACAGAATAATACAAAGGAGCTTTATATAATATTATAAGGACAGGCTGGCTCTACTTGCTTCTGAATCCCTTCCAGCACGAGAGATGCATTTTAATAATGCTGTTTCTATAGCCCAGGCAACTCTACAGTTCCTTTGGTGGCCTGCTCTGGCAGACAATCAGCAACACGAGCACTGAGGTCGTGCTACTGAAATGAGTTCAGAAGTCCGTGCACCTGCAGATCTCACATACTGTTACCCAGTGAGCACCGCAGGTTCCTTAATGCGGCTTTGCACACATATTTTCTATGGACTGGGTGGAGTTCAGGAAGAAGCCAAAAATGTTCTTGCTTGTGTAATTTTCAGTTAACATCAGTTGAATTTAATTCTCTAATGTGATGTTTTTCCATCGGCTTGTGTAACTTTGAACAGAAGTTATGCGATGTCATGTGCTCTGGCAGAGGAGCTAGAAGGGTTACAGTTTAGTACACATGGAAATCCAAACCTATTTAAAATTGTAAAAAAAATAATTTACAATATTCCTTATCTTTTAAAGGCATCTCTTGCCTGCCTCTGTAAAGAGTAAAAGCCTGAGCTGCTTTCTGATTCCTTTATTTTCAAGCATCTTTACCTTTTGGGAGACTTACCTCTGTCTGAGACCTGCTAGTAACACTCTTAAAGTTCAAAAGTACTGCCGCTGCCAAGGCATAGCATTAAGACTCAATATACACATTCATGTGCTTGACAAGTTTCCAGCCGTATTTAAGATATTTGATAACATTTCCACATTAATTTATAGGATCAAATTCTGCAGTCACATGGAATCACAGAATGTTAGGGGTTGGAAGGGACCTCGAAAGATCACCTAGTTCAACCCCCCTGTCAGAGCAGGACCACCTGGAGTAGGTCACACAGTCATTGTATAAAGGTAAAATTCTGACTTCAGCATTGCCTAAGGAGCAGCTCAAAATCTTTATTGTACTGTCTACAGCCACCTTGATGGTGAAAGCTCTTTGTTGAGTACAGCATGTCCATGGGTTACTGCTTATGCAAGAAACTTGTACTGTGGCTGCATGTTCCCTAATGAGATTAGGCAATCAATTCGTATAGTCTCTCATTCTGCTGATCGCTTTACTGCCGGTAAAAGGACATTTATATAACTTACCTGCACAGAAAACCACATCCCTTCTGTTTGAGAGATGAGACTGATGACAGTCTGTGAATTTCCACGTGTGGTTTTGGAGCAGCAGCTAGGTCTTGTCTTAATTAACACCCTGCAGCAACTTTGTTCTAGACTGTGTACTAATTTTTTATGAACAATTACAACTCTTGTATCTTCATACAAGGCACACAGCATTTCCTCACAATACAGTTTTTCTTTGAGGAGGTATTGCTAAACCTCAGCAAAGCGGGGAAGCACTCTAGAGAACTGCCACTACTACAGTGATGCCAGCTGTCAGAGTGCCTGCAGGGAAAAACCACTTGGCCAAGAAACTTAAAGGCAACTACCAATGGTTGGACTTGATGATCTTAGAGATCTATTCCAACCTAATTCTATGGTAAGAAGATAAGAAATCAAGATGAGAGAGAACTGAACGGGAAAAACTAGGTCCTAGGAAGGAGGAGAACAAGGGACAGGTAGAAAGATAGTGGAAGAAAGGCCACATTTTCTTTGGCTCAGCACCCAAATCACCACCATCATCAACAACATCAAATCAGGCAGGTGAGTAGGAACCTGAATGTTCTCAGCCAGATCTGATGTGCAGTGAGGCAAGGGGGAGAGAAGTTGTGCAATACCTTCATCACCTGATTGTTAGTGCTGGATAACACAGATCTTGCACAAGCCCACTCCGCAACCTCTTCTCTCATTAGGAACTGGACTGTTGTGCCTACTGCTGGCTACCAAATACTAGACATAGAAAAGAGCAGCTGATGCCATGCTAACTAATCAGCAGAAAAAGTACCCTTTTCTTTGTGATTCATGGTGTTGTCAACAGCAGAAGCAGAACGTTGCATGTTAACTCTTGCCTGCCTTGTCTGAAAGCAGTCATTTCATGGGGCAGCCCTTCTAGTGAAGAACATTTGCTGATACCATTTGTAATGAAAACAAACACAGAGAAAATTAATTTGGGCAACAGAAACATCCAAAGGCCACTGCCTTAACCAAAAAATGATGTGGTAGCTCAGGTATAAGAAACTTCACTTCTCTAGGCCAGATCCAGCTGTGAGACCATGTCTCATTGCCCTTCTTCCCAAGGGTCCCAAAGTCCTCATAGAAGTGTATCTGTTTTACAGATAGGGAGAAGACTAGTGAATCTGGTCACACACCAGAGATGACTGGCATGTCCCACCACAGGCAGGAGCATATCTAGCAACACATGACTGGATACATGACAGACACAGGCAAAATGTATTTGTTTCCCATTTGTTTCCCATTTCTATCAGCAGACAGAGATAAGTCCCTGACAGTTTGCAGGAGAATGCTGAGGAGGACACTGAATGGATACGCATGGGGTTTTTTAAGCAACAAAACTATATCCATTAAAACAGTTGTTGGTGGTTTTATTCTTAAAAAAGTTTGTGGGGCCCTAAGTTTTTTAGGCCTTAGTTCAGGGGAAGCCAACTGAAAGCAGTCCTGTTTGTCTTTGGAGCCTTTTGCAGATCACTGATGAGGTGGTGTTCATGGTTCTCCATATGAAAATCTCCCTTGTGTATTGTATAGATACAACCCTTGCGTTATACATTGTAGCTGTAGGTGTAACTAGTGAAATCCAAAAAATGAACAATTGATCTAATGAGCCTTGGTCTGTCTCCTAAATAATCAAGGAAACAAAGACACTTGCTTTCTCCACGTTCTTGAACAAAATCCTATTTAAAAAAAGGAACTGCCTGTTTGTTGACTGAGACGCTATTTGAGATTTGGCTGAAGTATCTTGGAGGCTTCATAAACAGGGAAAAAGAACCTACAAATCACTTTTTCTGAGCAGGAGCTTCCTAATTAGATCCTGGAGATAACTGTTATGGCCAAAACTGTGAATTTAAAACATATTATTGGCTATTTAGATAGACAGCTGGCTGGAATCAATTTTATTATTGGACAATTTTAATTAAGGTGTATTGAATTTCTCCAGGAGGCTTATTTATTTCCTACTTAGTGTAGTGTGAGGAGAACTTATTTCTTATTTTGGCACAGAATTTTTATAGCTCTCTGGGCCTCCTGAACTGGTTATTCAGCATTAGAAAGATTAAGAATAGTGCAAGCGGGAAGTTATAAAAATTACAACTACAAAAAATGCTAAATCTGTGTATTCATAAAAAGATGTTATAGATTAATAACCAATAAAGAATATGTGATGTTCAGACTCAGTGACAGTAAGAACCAAACCAATATACAGTAGTAGTAGACAGCACATTTCATGATTCGATGTTTCCATTTTAAACAAATGGAGAAACTAAGGATGGAGACAAATTGTACGAGTTGCCCAAGGCTAGACAGCACTTCAGTGATGAAGCTAGGAATATATTCCACATACCCATCTACCCAACAACGCTACATCTGTCTGCGACCTGTGCTTGACTCCAGTGCTCAAGCTTCTCAGGCTGTACATCTACCACAGTGCCCAAGTGCAGACCTCCAGCACAGCCATGCAATGGCACGGGCATCTGGCATGTGAGAGATGTTTCCCATGTCTGAGAGATGTTGAGAAGCACATCAGGTCACCAGACTGCTATTTCTTTGAGCTCACTCATCACTGCTCCTACCTTAAGCATAACAGGTCATGGGTTTTAGGTTAGCTATTGATAGGAGGCTGCTACCTTCAGTGTGGCACATTTACCTAGTTGAAATACAGTGCTCCCTGCCTCACTTCTAAATGAGACCTAAGGCAGGGAACAAGAGAAATGGTCGTACCTTGTAGCAAATGCAGAAAACTTAGGCATGGCTGTGGAGAATACAAGGTGAGAACCTCGCATTCAGTGCCTCAAAATTGCCATTTTGCATTTTCACCATAATTGTTCTTAAATAGCTGAGGAGAGAGACTTCATCACACCTTCTAAACTTCATCATTGAGTCAGACATAGGTGCAGCTTACAGGAATATTCTATAGAGATCAGTACAGATATTGTCAAAGTGCAGAAGTAAAGTCCAGCAGACTACAAGAGATATGAAATGTGATATCCATGAAAGGATCAGGAGCCCAGCATCCCTGAAGATCCAGTCATCAAATAAGGTATCACTAGTTCGATTTACAGTACTTTTTAATGGGTTGGAATACCACAGTGGCCTCCCCTCTGGCAGAGTAACACCTTCTCCATCCAGTTAGTGCCAAGTGGCATCTACCTTGCTCCCAACCTTTTTATTCTAACTTTTGAGTACAAAACCAACCATGGAAGATGTTGCTATTGCTTCTAATCACGCCGTGTTTGCTTGCTGCAGGTGAACGGCCTTTTGAATGCAACTGGCAAGGATGTAACAAGAAGTTTGCTCGCTCCGATGAGCTGGCCCGCCATTACCGCACTCATACTGGAGAAAAGAAGTTCAGCTGTCCTCTCTGTGAGAAACGCTTCATGCGCAGCGATCACCTGACAAAGCATGCCCGCCGCCATGCCAACTTCCACCCAAGCATGCTCAAGAGGCGAAGCGGAAGCAGCTCAAGAACAGGGTCTGTCAGTGACTACAGCCGCTCGGATGCTTCAAGTCCGACGATCAGCCCCGCCAGTTCTCCATAGACCTACCTGCACTGGATGCCAGCACTTTGCTTCTAATACCTAATGTGGAGTTTTGTTTGTGTTGCACACATTTTAAAAACTCTGTCGCTTCCCTTCCTCAGTTCCCTCTCCTGCCTTTTTTTTTTTTTTAAATCAGTAAATAGCTGCCTCCCACTGCAATTTCCAGTCAAAATTTCTTTACCCAACCACATATGTGGCTATTCTAACCTCATGGACAGACCCAGCTGTTACACTTAGTGACTCCTGCTGTCTCAATATTTCATACGTTTTGCAACCATTTACAGATTCTCCTGATTATTCTTTATAAGAAAATGAGAAAATCTAAAAAAAAAAAGAAAAAAACCCCACTTAATTCACCTCAGGTGTCAAAGCAGTTTTGTAAGACCGGATTGCACAACATGAGCATACATACACTTACAAATCAACTGTGTCGGACTATGTCCCCCTTCTCCTTTCTCAGGGATAGATATTTATGTTACACAATAATTACAATGAAGACACACCCTCACCGCAGCCTTACTCTGTAAATATATTTGCACTCAGAAGCTTTTTGTTAGGTTCTTTCACACACTGGGGAAAAAATCAAACAATATAAAAACCAAACCAGTACTGGAAAGTAGTACCAGACTCATCCATTGTTTGTTTTCCTGATTATATACCTACATTGGGGAGTGTCCAAACAGGAGTCTTGTTTTTCTTCAAGCTGCCCTCTGCTTTTGGTAGCAAGCCATCTTTTCACTTCATGCTGAAGATGCTCCAAACCCAACTTCCTATTGCAAAAATCTCTGTGAGGTTCATAAACTTGTTTGTTTCATGCGAGATGAAATTCTGAGAAAAAAATTCTAAACAAGATGCCTTAAGTAAATAACCTAAATAACGAGGACACATATTTACACTGGGTAACATTTTATTGCAAGGTGGCATGGCATCTTGGAGTTATTCTGTCGTCACTCTCTCCAAGTTGTTAAGCTCTCTGCACTGCCTGATCGTTATGGGACCAACAGAATATTCAAATCAAACCACACTGACTTGAACAATTTTCTTTATTCTTTTTTCCTCTAAATGAACTATGGAAATAGCATAGCTGAACCAATGCCCACCAAAACTGTTATCAAGGTACTTACATACTGTACAGCTGTATCAGCCAGACAAATTGCCTAAGACAGTTTCTGTATCCTGTTGCATCACAATCGTGGTCGCTGATAAAAGGAAGTGAAAATCATACAGCATCTTCCGAGTGGAAAAATAAAATATGCATTTTTAAGTTTTAAAATCAAGTAACATTCTAGCTTAGCACTACTACAAGTTTCAGAACACATACCAGCATAAAGAAAGGTGCTCTCATTCCTGAATAACTGCTTAATAACAAAAAGGGAATCTTGGCTAGTTTGCAATAATTTCCAAATATTTGACACTAGATAGAGCGCTAGGAGGTAGATTTTTGTTTTATATGGTAGAAAATACAGCAAAAGACCAGGAGTATTGTGATGTACTGGAGACCTCATGGGCAGCAAACACACTTTCCTTGGTTTGGCTGGGTCTGATGGTGCATATTATAAATTTGGGTCCTTTTGACTCTGGAATTTTTGGGGTTTTCTTGTTTTTACTGTAGGGTATAAATGCAGTTAAATGTAGTATGGTGAAAAGAAACTCTACACCAAACCTGCCATTTGATATCAAGCGAATGCCTCCAGATTCCACATGAACCTGTATCTCACTTGCTGCTTTGCATTGATCCAATTTTGCAAGATTTTACTGTACTGTGTGTTAACTGTGAGAGGCTAGTAGTTTCTTAGGTACTCTGGTAATATTTGCATTCTTCCTAATACTACGCATTCTATTAGTTGTATGGATAAATACTTCAAGACAGTTCAAAGCGCAGATATTTCAGTATCTTTTTCATGGTCATTTGCTTCAGATTTTAACTCTATAAAAATCACAGTTTTCCCCTTTTGAATTGGAAGTCATGCGAGGCACAATTCTACCGTTTCATTCCACAGAAAATGAAAGAACATTGTAAAGTTTTTTGCAAGACAACAAATGTTGTTGACTTTGTGGGATGAGTTGCCTAACCACTCTGAGTTAGGGGAAAACCAGATCTGTTTGCCTCCATATATTTCCTCTTTTCTTTTTTATTAAAAAAAAAAAAAAAAATCTCATCTACTGAGATACACAATTTTATCAACTTGATACAATTCAGGTAACAGGAATTCACATTCCAATCATTTCTGTGACTGCTAAAAGTGCTCTTATGCTGTAGTTAGTAAACAGGCATTTAAGATATCTAGGTTAAGGAATTCTACTGGTCAGCTGTGCCTTGTGCACATACTTTGAAACAAGTCATAAACACATTTCTTATTATCATTATACCTTAACAGAAGAATATGGGGCAAAAAAAAACCCCACCCAAAATCAAAAGGAGAACAAAAAAATCAACAAAAATCATAGACTTCATGTTCTAAGGTCAGTTTGTTGTAAAATAATCTTTTCCAACGAGAGCATCATTTAATCTTTAGCAAGGAAGGAACCACTCCCGTCCATTTATTTAGGGGACAACAATTCAGCATGAATCAGTAAGTGCATTACAAACAAGTTGTTTTAATAGCCTGGAGAAAGAATATTTGCACTAGGTTTTATTAGTACTGAGATCATGAGATATAAAATTATGAGGCAACCTATTCTGAGTGACACAAGAACTATGTAATCTTTAATTTAAACAGTAAACTACGCATTTTATGTATATTCCTCATAGATACTACTACTAATTCTCCAAGTTTAAGCAGCAAAAAAAAATAAAAATTGTTTCAAAGTCAAATTTCCAGTTCAGCCAGTTCATCTAATGAGAAGGCTGTGAGACTATATATAGCCACCATAGCTATACTTTCAGGAAATTCTCTGAAAGTTGTCCTTAAAACTTTTTATTTTCACATCTTAGCTGTAAATACCTCAGAGTGTGTTGGGCTGACAGTCAAATTACTGTGTTTTAAAATCCTAGCTAGAGTTTCAAATGTCTCAATTAAATATTTAATACATTATAGCTTTAGGATAAAATTATGAATTCCAAACCACTAGTAGTTTCGAAAACTGAATGTGAACAAAACTTCTCTTAATATTTTCATATGGAAAGTGTGTTCGGGGTTTTTTAGCATCTGCTAGGTGCTAGAAAAGAAGCAGAAGCACCAGCAAGGTTAGAAGACTCCATTCTCATGATGGTTCCGCCTGAGTTTTGCAGATAAAAGAAGTCTGAACAGCTAAAATTCTGTTTTGAAATGTGGGTGCTTATTCAAACTTTCAGATTTTTACCCTTTTGTTGTTTCACGCAGCGGTGTAACCTAAAACAGTCTCTTGGCATAGCAACAACCATTGCACACTCAGGAAATACTGCTCTGGCAAGGTGCAGGTTTCTTCACAGTCCTCCATTTGGAGGAGTGTGCATCTCTCCTCCTGCCTCCTCCTTTCCCCATGCAACCTGTTGGGGTGAATCCCCACAAACTACAAAATTGCCCTATTTTTTTTTCCTTTTAATTTCAGAATATAACAACAGGTTTATTATTATCAAGGAAGACCTGAAAGTTTGTTCGTTTTTCTCCAGCCATGATTCTAGCTTCCTCTCTTAAGAGTTGAGCTTCACTGCCTTGCTATAGGAAATGGGGGCAAGTGAAAATCATCGCTTCACTCCCACCACTCAACTGAAACTAAAGACGCCCTTCGAAACTCATTCACCCCTTCCATAAACCTTGTCCTGTGCAAAGGCCCAAAGTGCCTTTAATAGCCACATGAATTCAGTTTTCATCCTGCTTCTTAGAAAGCAGTCCTGGGAAACTCCTGGCAGCTAGATTTTGTTGTGAGAATTGTCTATATCTTCATGTGATTTTCCTTCATTTTATAATATATGCATAGTGTCTGTTTACATTACATAACTGCAAAGATATATATTTCTAACAAGTCATCAGAAGCATCTGTTTGATGGTAACACCTAATTCCTCTATGTATCCTACCCTCTCTACTGCATTAACCCATACAATAACTTTGAGCTACGAGCACCTCTGTACACCTTTAAAACCTCATGACCTTCTATCCAGGCGTCCAGCGCTTTCCGTTTCATGCAGCCAGGCAGTAAAAGGCTGTGTGAGGAGCTTACCCGTTTCTAGCTATCCACATTCAGAACTGCTTTTCTCCAGTTCTTTGCCATGAGTTCTAGGATTTGTACTGCGTGAAGCGCGTTGTTGTTTTGGGGAACATGCTTTGTGAAGAAAGAGCAAGGAAAATGAGCTCTGCATACTTAAAGCTTGCCTTTTCACTGCCATTTGATCTACTAATTTCATCAGGTGATGCCTACAAACTGACTTTCAGGTGCTTTTTTACTCCATCACACCATCTGTTTGTGCATTGGGTGCTAACATATAGTCTATGTCAGTGAATGGCATGATGAACGTCTGTAATTCTAACTCTTCTGGGGATTAAGCTAGAGCCTTAGGCAAAATAACCAAATTATACTTGTTTACCCCATAAGCCAGAATGCAAAAGCCCATCCACTGGTATAGGTTTTTTATATATATATATATTTATATATTTATATATATGGATTTATATAAGCATACGCACATATATATAAATACGTATATATGTGTATATTGGATAGTGCGTGTGTATATACACAGACACACAGCAGTGTGTATATACTGCACACCAAATAATGAAGGGATGTCTACAGAGCAAAAATGGGTATCCATTTCATTATAACTAGTGATGGGTCTGAACCACAATCCTAGATCCAAACGCCATTGCATTTGGAAAGTTTGAACCTGCTTTTTGAGATTTGTGGTTGAGTTTCATCTCTGGTTACAGCTGCAGTTACTTGTGTATATATGCATTCCGGGGGACGTGTGTGCGCGCACACGTGCTTCTTCACAAGCGCATGCCTGTGTGGGTGACAGAGAATCTGTGTGCCAGTAAGTGTGCACGTGTTTACATATATACTTCCAGCTTTGGTGAACTGT